GTTGCTTTGCTCAGTGCTGACCCAGGTTCAATCCTCGAACCCAGTGGTCCCCGAAATACCTCTGGCAAAACCCTAGAGTATTGGAGGGTGTCACAACATCTAAAAACAGAAGAAATGGTTTGGTTTTTTTTTTTTTTTTTTGCTTTTTGGGTCACACCCGGCGATGCACAGGGGTGACTCCTGGCTCTGCACTCAGGAGTTACTCCTGGCGGTGCTCAGGGGACCATATGGGATGCTGGGAATCGAACCCGGGTCGGTTGCGTGCAAGGCAAATGCCCTACCCACTGTGGTATCTCTCCAGACCAGAAATGATTCTTTAACACCTGATATCTCCTCCCGCAATCTTTCTCTTTTTGGGTCACACCCAGCGATGCTCAGGGGTTACTCCTGGCTCTGCACTCAGGAATTACTCCTGGCAGGATGCTGGGGATCGAACCGGGGTCGGCCGCGTGCAAGGCAAACACCCTCCCCACTATACTGTCGCTCCAGCCCCCGAAGTAGCTTCTTAGACATCTCTTGTGTGGGCTCCCATCCGCCTTCCAGCGCCCAGCTCAGGACTGCAGGGGGCTATTGGCGGCTTGCACCCTGCCCTGGTCCTCCGCTCGCAGCAGGGGCGTCCAATCCAAACGTCTCCTCTGCAGGCTCCCTCCTTCCCTCCCTCCCTCCATGACTGCCCCGTGCTCTCATTTCCCTGGGAGGATGCTGGCCGGGCACCGAGCCACGCACAGCCCCTTCCCACGGTGCCCACTTGTTTCCCAGGACTTGGCTTGGAGATCTTCGTGCTGATCTCAGTTGCTCAGACACCTGTGATGCTGAGACGCACCCAGGCCCCACCTTCTCAGGGTGACTTCCCTGGGTGACCCAGAAGGTGGGTGGAGGATGGGTACAGCGATGGGCAGCCGGGGGACGGGAGATGATGGACCCTGATGAGGACGGTCCAGCTGCTGAGTGGCCATCAGTAGCGCTCGCTCTCTCTCTCTCTCTTTTGGGGGGAGCCACACCCGGCAGTGTTCGGGGCTACCTCCGGCGGGCTCAGGGGCACCCTATGCGGTGCGGGAGCTCGAACCCGGGCCAGCAGCGTGCAAGGCAAGCGCCCGCCCCGCGGTCCCATCTCCTTGTGCGTCTTCAGGCTCGCCGTCGCGCTGCCCAGCTCGCCCGGCTGCCTGCGCCCCGAGGAAGGGCCCCGCTTCGCCTGCAGGCTCGGCCGCGGGGGCTCCGGGGCCGCGCGGCGGGGGTCGCGGCCCGCACGCACGGGCCACGGGAGCCGCAGCCGAGCCCGCGGCGGGGGCGTGGCCAGCCAGGGGGCGTGGCCCGGGAGGGGCGGGGCCTCCACGGGGGCGGGGCCTCGCAGGTCCCGGATGCGGCCCCGCCCCGCCGCGGAACCGGAAGTGGAGCGGACCGGGGGCAGCGGCGAGGCAGAACCGGAGCGACCCGGGCGGCCGGGCCGGAGCAGCGCGGGGGGCGGTGAGCGCGGGGGGCGGGCTGGGGCCGGGCCGGGCCGGGAAGGAAGCGGCGGCCGGGGACGCTTCCGCTCGCGGTTGCGGTTGCGGTTGCGGTTGCGGTTGCGGGGGGAGGGGAGCCGGGGGGGGCCTCGGGGGGCGCCCTCGGGGGGCGCCCGGGCGCGGCGGGGGCGGGTGGGGGAGGGGAGGGGGGCCCGGCAGGACGGGACCCTCCGGCCTTGGGGCGGGGGCGCGGATGCGGTCCGCGGTGGGCGGGCCCGAGGGTGCAGGCGGGGGCGGGGGGCGCCCGCGGGTCTCGGGGGTGTGTGTGTGTGTGGGGGGGGTTGGGGGTCCGGGTGCGGGGCGGGGTCCGGAGCTGCAGGGGAGGGGCGGGGGCGTCGGGGTCCGGGGCGCCCGGCGGGTGTGCAAACGGGGTCACGGGGTCGCCCCTGGGGGCTTCGTCGGGATCGGGATCGGGATCGGCTTCGGGTTCGGCTTCGGGTTCGGGGGTCCGGCCGCGCGTCCCCGCGGGGCGGTCCCCGCTGGAATCCGCCGACGTGGCCGCGCCGCCGCGGGCCGGAATCCGCTGGGTGGGCGCTCCCGGGCCTTGGCCTGCCCGCGCCCCCGCCGCCGGCCTGCGCCCACCCGCCCCCACCCAGCGCACCCCGCGGTGCCGGCCCGGGCCGGGCACGTGACCCCGAGGCGCCCCGCCCGTGGCCCGGCCCGGCCCGATTCGGGTTTGACTGGCGGTGAGTCACCGGCCCGGCCGAGCGGGTCCCTCCTCGGGACGTGGCCGCGGGAGGCCCAGCGCCCAGGGGACTGTCCCCCGCCAGAAGGTGCGGGTGGGAGCACGTGCGGTGCGGGGTGGGGCGGGGCCTGGAGGGCGTGGGGTGCGGGCCCGGGGATGCGTGGGCAGGGGCCAGGACCCGCCCCGAGGCAGCGGGTCGGGGGTCCCTCCGGCGAGGCGGGGCCTGGGTGGGCCTGCGCCGACCGATGCCCCTGGCCCAGCGCACAGTTGAGCGGGTTTGTCTAAGCCCTCAGTTTCCCCGCGTTCTCACCCCAAACCCGGTTCTGCCCCACAGCGGCAGCTCCTCGACTTGCCAATTGTCTCGTCTTCCGCGTCTGTTTCCTTCGTGAATTGTGTTTTGTTCCGAGGGGCGGCCCTTGGCTTTCCGGGGCCAAGGGGCCACTGCAGAAGCCGCCTCTCTGGCCACGGGTGTTGGGGGCCCTTCCTTCAGGCCCAGCCCCGCGGGCTCAGTTCTGCAGACCTGTGTCCCTTTGGACTCCCGAGGATCTGCTCTGAACTGGTGGGTTGCCAGGTGCGTGGGTGCTGGGTGCCGTGGGTGCTGGCTGCTGGTGCCAAGGGTGGCAGGTGCCTTGGCCGCACTTTCTTTTTTCATTTCTTTTTTTTTTTTTGCTTTTTGGGTCACACCTGGAAATGCTCAGGGGTTACTCCTGGCTCTGCACTCTGCAATTACTCCTGGCGGTGCTCGGGGGACCCTATGGGATGCCGGGAATCGAACCCGGGTCAGCCGCGTGCAAGGCAAACGCCCTCCCTGCTGTGCTGTCACTCCAGCCCCCAACCTGTCATGTTTGGTTGGGGGCTCCTCCCGCCTCTGTGCTGTGAGACCCCAGGGTGGTCCTGGGACCCGTCGTCCACAGCTGCTGGCCGGGCCCCCTCCACCCTGCGGCTTGGACCCCCTGGTGGCCTCAGGCATGTGTTCGGGCCTCTCCACGGACTGGGTCCTCCCAGTGGCGTGGAGGCCAGGCTGTGGGCGCCCCATCAGGCAGGTTGGCAGCGGCATCTCCCGAGGCCCAGCGCCCCCGAGTCTGTCTTTCCTGCACTCACGCCTGAGTGCTCGCCACGTCCGGGGCGGAGAGTCTTTGCCTTGGCCTGAGCGTCCCGTATTTCCATTCAGGCTCTTGGGACTCTCGGCTACTTTGGAGTGACCAAGTTGTCGATTTTCTCCTCTCTCTGCCTGACCCGGCGTCCAGCCCCGGTCTTAGCTGGTCAGCCTGGGCCTTGGCCTGGGGGCGGGGGGCCCCACCCCGGGCAGATCGTGGGGGACAGACGGGAGCTCCACGGTGGCAGCGGTCTGGGTTCCAGGGTGGACAGGAAAAGAGGAGCCAAGGTGGGGGTGGGACAGTAAATCGAGGACACGGACCGCCGCAGGCACCCCCTCCGGCTGCTAACCGTGACGCGCCCCAAGTGGCCCGTGACCAGCTGTGCTGGGGCTGGGGGGCGGTGGGGGCAGGGGGGTGCGTGTGGGGCCTGAGTCCTGCTGCCCTGCCAGCCGCCTTGGTGGACTGACCCTGGCCACTCCCAACATCCTCAGAGGGCACCTCCCTGCTCCCTCCATCCCTCCCTCCCTCCCCTCCTCTTCCTGCCCCTCCCTTTCCCTCCTCCTCCCCCCTCTCCTCTCCACTTCTCTCCTTTTTTATTTCGGGCAACACCTGGCCGTGCCCGGGGCTTCCTCCTGTACTCCTGATTCAGTGCTCAGGGATCACTCCCGGTGGGCTCAGTGTACCTTCAGGGTGCCAGGGATTGAACCCCAGTCAGTGCCCTGCCCTCTGTCCCCTCTCGCCGACCCAGGAGTGGTTTCTTTTTTATTTTAAAAACGCATTGCGAGGGGCTGGAGAGATAGTACAGCGGGTAGGGCGTTTGCCTTGCATGCAGCTGACCCGGGTTCGATCCCGGCATCCCATATGGTTCCCCCAAGCACAGCCAGGAGTAATTCCTGAGTGCTTGAGCCAGGAGTAACTCCTGAGCATAGCTGGGTGTGACCCAAAAAAGCAAAAAAAAAAAAAAGCATGCACTCCCAGACAAACCATGGGGAGACGTACCATTTTAGCATTTTTCCCCCCAGCTTACAGTGCTTTAGAAACACTTGGAAACCCATTGATTTGGGTGGACAGAAGTTTGCCGGCCTCTGCAGTAGAGCTGGGCTTTGGGGGGGGGGGCATCGCTCCCAGGGCCGTGAGGCCTGGGCAGAGCAGGCCGGGATAGTGCAGCAGGCCGGGCAGTCCGTCTCCTGGAGGCTCAGCTCTGGGTCGTGTGGTTTTTTTTTTTTTTGCTTTTTCGGGTCACACCTAGCGATGCTGCTTGGGTTCCTCCTGGCTCTGCACTCAGGAATTACCCCTGGCGGTGCTCAGGGGACCATATGGGATGCTGGGAGTCGAACCCAGGTCGGCCGCGTGCGAGGCAAACGCCCTACCCACTGTGCTACCGCTCCAGCCCCCGGGTCGCGTGTTTAAAGTGGGCTGTGAGAGCCAGAGCCGAGTCTAGCAGGTTCTCCTTGCACGGCCCCGGTTCGATCCTCGGTGTCCGCCTGGTTCCCTGAACCCCGAGCACAGCCAGGAGCTGTGGCCCCCCCCCCAAGCCGAGAACACACCGTCCGGCAGGGCTGCCTCGACCCCAGCGGCACTGCTCCCGTGGTGGCCGCGTCCTTGTGAAGTCGCAGGGCCGGATGCGGGGGCCTGGGAGCCGCCGCCGTGAAACTTGGTGACGGCTTGGAGTGCCGAGTCAGTGCCGAGGCTGAGCTGTCCCCACTGTCTTCACAGACCCAGCCCTCCCCATGCCAGGGGACGCCGGAGTCCGGACTGCCTTCTGAACCGCCGCGCGGCCTTGGCCCAGGACGAAGGTGGGTGCTGGGGGTCTTTTAACACGGCAAGGGAAGGGGGACGCTCTTGTGCCTCTGTTTAAGGTTTTGGGCCACCAGTGACACTCGGGCCACACCAGTGATGCTCGGGTTACACCAGTGACACTCAGGGACCACATCAGTGACACTCAGGGGTTACACCGGTGACTTCCAGGGTTACTCCTGGCAGGCTCAGTTGCAGGCCAAATGCCACCTCCCGGGCTGTGATTCCGGCCCCTCCTTCCTGGGTTTTCTTGGGGGCCTTGACAAGTCAGGCCTGAGCTGTGGTGACGTTGGGGACCAGCTGTGTGGGTGTGTGGGCAGATACGGCCTGTGTGTCCAGTCAGGGAGGACGCGCGGGGGCCCGAGGCAGCCCAGCTGTGGCAGAGGGCAGTGTCGGGCGTTGGTCACACCCTCCCGGACAGCGGGCAGCCCTCGGTCAGAGAAATGCCCAATAGCCTCCCAGTTGGGGCCCCCGAGGTACAGAGTGAGGGACTGAGCTCGTGACAGCCGGCCTGGCCTTGGCACTGCCCGGAGTGATCCCTGAGCACAGCCAGGTGTGGCCCCAAGCGCCCTCAGGAAAAGGGAAGAGAGAAAAGGGGCTGGAGCGATCGCATAGTAGGGAGGGCGTTTGCCTTGCACACGGCCGGCACAGGTTCGATTCCCAGCGTCCCGTAGTGTCCCCAGCACCGCCAGGAGTAACCCCTGAGCATCGCTAGGTGTGATCCAAAAAGAAAAAAAAAAGTTTCCTTTCAAGCGGGTGCTGTGAGGGACGCGTCCGGTTTCCCGTGTGTGTGTGTGTGTGTGTGTGTGTGTGTGTGTGTGTGTGTGTGTGCGCGCGCGCATGCGCGCGGGCCACGGTGTGGCGCTCTCTGCCTCGGCTGCCCTGTGGGGGAGCTGCTGGTGCTTGGCTGTGGCGTTGGCACTCGGACCCCGGCCCTCCCGCACAGGCCCGCAGCCACCTCCCCTCCCCGCTTCTGGGTGCCCGGGCTGCACCAGCCCTCGGCCTTGCCCTCAGCCTTGACCCCCTGCCTTGACCTTTGGCCTTGTCCACCGGCCTTGACTCCCGGCCTTGACCCCCCTGCCTTAACCCCTGGCCTTGCCCCTTGGCGGCCTTGACCCCCGGCCTTGACCTCCGGCCTTGCCCCCGGCGTGTCTCACAGATGTGGAAGGCTTCGGCGGGCCACGCCGTGGCCATCCCGCAGGACGACGGGGACGCCGATGACTGGGAGACGGACCCCGACTTTGTGGTAGGGGCCCCCTCCCCTCCCCTCCCCTTCCCCCCGGGGGTGCTGGGCGGCTGCCCCGCGGCCCCGGGCGAGTGTCTGCTCCGGTCTCGCCCCTCAGAATGACGTGAGCGAGAAAGAACAGAGATGGGGCGCCAAGACGGTGCAGGGCTCCGGGCACCAGGAGCACATCAAGTAAGGAGGGGGGCACGGCCGAGCACCGGCCCGTGAGCCTCGGAGCGTCTCGGGTGGGGGTGGGGCTCCGAGTCCGAAGTCAAGCGGGTGGGGTGGGCCCGCCATCCCCGGCCGCTGCGGGAAGGCGTGACTCGGCCCGCGGTGCTTGGCCTCTGGGTGTGGGCGGGGCGGGCAGTGTCCCTCGAGGGGCCCGTGGCAGGGTGCCCAGCACGGCTGTGCCCCTCTCGCCCCCGCAGCATCCACCAGCTGCGGGAGAACGTCTTCCAGGAGCACCAGAGCCTCAAGGAGAAGGAGCTGGAGGCGGGCCCCAAGGCCTCGCACGGCTACGGCGGCAAGTTCGGCGTGGAGCAGGGCCGCATGGACAAGGCGAGTGGCCGGGGTCCTGGGGGGGGGGGGCCTGCGCTGACCGCGGCCCCCTGGGCAGCAGACAGGGGCTTGGTGTGGTGGGTGCGGCCCTGGGAGCAGCTGTTGACCTCAGCCCGGTGTGGCCAGCACTCGAGGGTCCCTCGGGAGAGGGGCTGCGTGACAGCATCTGTCCGGCTGTGTGGCTGTGGTGGCCGTGACCGTGGCTCTGGCCCTGAGTGGGGTGGAGCTGGAGTGCCGGGGCACCTGACACGCAGTGGGGTGGGGAGGCAGGGTTGAGGACGCTGGGGGCGACGGAGCAGAGCCATCCCAGAAATTTGATCTGCGCCCTGGGACAGAGGATGCTGGGGATTGAGTGTCAGAGTGCTCGCTGCGAGCCCCGGCCCCCAGTGGCCCGCTGGGTCATCGGGTCATCGGGAGCAGCCCTGCCCTGGGGTTGGCCCCACTCCCCGCCCGGTGGGGACGCGGGCGTCACCCGGCTCTGGGCTCCTGCCGCAGGGACGCCGAGGGTGGCAGCCTGAGACTGTACAGTGGGAGACCCTGAGTCCACGGGGGGCGGGGCGGGGTGCCCACGGGGGCGGGACTGCCAGCTGCCCCAGCCCGCGGCCCCCCAGCTGCCGGAAAGGGGGCGTGAGGTCGGCCACGCGGGGCCCTGGGCGGCCCCCTGACCTGCCCCTCTGCCCACAGTCGGCTGTGGGCCACGAGTACCAGGCCCAGCTGTCCAAGCACTGCTCGCAGGTCGACTCCGTCCGCGGCTTCGGGGGCAAGTTTGGGGTCCAAGTGGACAGAGTGGACCAGGTGAGTCATGGGGGGCGTCCCCAATGCAGGCTCCCGTGGCCGGGACCCCAGCTTGGGCCATGTCCTCCTGCCTCTGTCCCCGTTTCGCCCTCCAGAGCCGCGGGGCCGTTGGCTGGTGTCCATCCCAGGGCCCCGGAGCCTGCGGTCGGGGGCTGGGAGGGCCTTCGAGAGCAGGTGGCAGGCATCACCGTCCACCTTCTCAATGGCCCCGACACAGCCCTGATCTTCCTCTTCTCTCTTCCCAGTCGGCCGTGGGCTTTGAGTACCAGGGCAAGACGGAGAAGCACGCCTCCCAGAAAGGTGCCCGGGGTGGGGCTGGGGCTGTGCCCGAGGGGGGCTGAGGGGGGACCCGAGGGGGTGGCTGTAGGTGTGAGTGACCGGAGGGTGGGCGTAGGCTTGTGTGCAGGGGTGAGGCATCGTCTCAGCACAAGCTGCCCAGCGTCTGACCGGTCTGGTCCTTCCGCCTGAGCAGGCGGCCTTGGGCAGGAGAGCGTGTCTCTGCCTGTCTCTGCGCCGGGCCCGCGAATCCCGCAGCCGGTCAGCCTGGAGACCGGGCCACTGCGCTCTGGGCCCTGATGGGTTCCTGGATCCAGACGGGGGTTCCCAGGCCCTAACTGGGGTTCCCGGGCCTTGATGGTTCCCGGCCCCGACGGGGGTCACTGGGCCCTGATGGGGGTCCCTGGGTCCTGACAGGGATTCCCCTGGTGTGCTGACACTCGTGGCTGGCCTGTCCACTCGTTCTTTCATTGAGGTCTTGGGGCCACACCCGGGGACCCTCCTGGCCCTCTCAGGGATCTCTCCCGGTGGCCGCGCACCTGTGTTTCGGGGTGCGCGTGGGCTGATGGCGTTTCTCTCACCCTGTCGCAGACTACTCCAGCGGCTTCGGCGGCAAGTACGGGCTGCAGGCCGACCGCGTGGACAAGAGCGCCGTGGGCTTCGACTACCAGGGCCGCACTGAGAAGCACGAGTCGCAGAAAGGTGGGTCCCTGCCGCGCTCGGGCCTCTCCGGGCAGGGCCTGGCTTCCCCCACGCCGCCCACTGCCCTGTGGCTCTCGCTGCGTTTCGGGGCCACGCCTGGTGGTGCATGGGTCCGTCCCCCGTCTGTGTGTCCCCCTCCCAACCCCCCTGGTACTCTGCAGGGCTGGGCGGTACCAGAGATGAGCTTGGGCTCATGCAAGTCTCTTATTTGTAGATTTTATTTTATTAAGGCGCTGCGATTTGCAGAGTCACTCATAGTTGGGATTTAGGCGCACAGAATGCAAAAATTAAGAGCGTTTTTTTTGGGGGGGTCACACCCAGCGATGCACAAGAGTTACTCCTGGTTCATGCACTCCGGAATCACTCCTGGCGGTGCTCGGAGGACCCTGTGGGATGCTGGGAATCGAACCCGGGTCGGTCGCGTGCAAGGCAGGCACCCTCCCCGCTGTGCTATCGCTCCAGCCCTAAGAGCATTTCCTGGGAGCACTCGGCAGTGCTGGGGCGGGGGTGGGACTTGGCCCCTCACCCCACGGCCCGATCCTGGCCGTGCCCCAGTTCCCCAGGGCTACAGATGGCAGGGGGTGGGGCCGGGGCCACAGGCCAGCGGGGAATGCGCTTGCCTGGCACAGCGTGGATTCGATCCCGGGCACCATGTGTGCTCTCCCGTGGCCCATCGGGAGTGGCCCTGAGTAGCGTCAGGAAGGAGCCCTGAGCACCACTGGATATGGCTCCCGAAGAAAACATAAATCAAACTGGCATTAGTTTGGGGCTGGGGCAGCAGTACAGTGGGCCAGCATGCAGCCAACACCAGCCCCTGCCAGGAGTCAGCCCCGAGCACAGAGCTGGGAGTCAGCCCCGAGCACAGAGCCGGGAGTCAGCCCCGAGCACAGAGCCGGGAGTCAGCCTTGAGCACAGAGCTGGGAGTCAGCCCCCAACACAGAGCCAAGAGTCAGCCCTGAGCATTGCTGGGTGCGGGGCCTCTGCCCCCGAACCCCCAGATGGCAGCATTCTTCGTGTTGTGGCTTGGCCACGTTGGCCACGTCCTGAGGATTGGCGGCCGGCCTGCGGGGGTGGGGGCTAGTGTTTCTCTGCCCCCGGCTGCTCTGAGCCCCGCTCCCTGCGCCCACTGCTGGGACAGCTGCCCCTGCCCAGCCTGCCGTCCCCCTCACGCCTCTGGCACCGCAGGGAGGAGCAGTCCTGTGGGTCAGGGACAGTGGGTCAGCGTCGGCCTGTGTCGGCCTGTGGAGACCCGTTTCCTTCAGTGCAGGGAAGCCCCGCCCGCGGCGGCTGCCCCCGCCCTGCCCTGCCCTGGCTGTTCTGCAGCCTTTCTTCCTGCTTTTCCTTTTCCCTTTGTATTTATTTGTTTATTTGTTTGTTTGGGCCGGAGCGATAGCACAGCGGGTAGGGCGTTGGCCTTACAAGCGGCCAACATGGCCGACCCGAGTTCGATTCCTCCGCCCCTCTCGGAGAGCCCGGCAAGCTACCGAGAGTATTCGATATGCCAGACACAGTAACAACAAAGTCTCCAATGGAGACGTTACTGGGCCCGCTCGAGCAAATCGACGATCAACGGGAGGGCCTTTACTTTACTTTACTTGTTTGTTTGTTTTTCTTTCTGGGTCACCGGTGATGCCCAGGGGCTACTCCTGGCTCTGCACTCAGGAATCTCTCCTGGTGGTGCTGGCGGGTGGGGGGAACCATACTGGATGCTGGGAATCGAACCCGGGTTGGGCTCGTGCAAAGCTAACGCCCTCCCAGCTGTGCTATGGCTCCAGCCCCTGGCTTTTAATTTTATGGCGGTGACCAGAGGGCACTCCCAGCCGCGCTTGGGCCTGCCTCCTGGCTTTGTGTTCAGGAATCACTCCTAGCGGGGCTCAGGGGCGGGGGTCCTCATAGGGGGCGGGGGATCGAACCTGGGTCCGCCGCGAGCCAGGCAAAGGCTCTTCATCTCCTTTTCCCTTCTTTTTGGGCCACACTTGCCCGTGTTTGGGGCTCACTCCGGGGTCACCAGCCACGCGCCCTCCCTGCCAGCCCCCCCGCCCGTCGGGACCCCGTGAGCTGTCAGGCGTCACCCCCCAGAGCAGCAGCGTCCTCCCTGCCCTCCCCTCTGGACACCCGCCCCCAGGCCCCCTGCGCGGCCGCTGGCCCCCGACTGCCTTCGGGGCCAGCCCCCCGGCTGGCGGCAGCTCCCAGGGTCAGCGGCCTGCCTGTGCTTCCAGACTATTCCAAGGGGTTCGGCGGCAAGTACGGCATCGACAAGGACAAGGTGGACAAGAGCGCCGTCGGCTTCGAGTACCAGGGCAAGACGGAGAAGCACGAGTCCCAGAAAGGTGCTTTCCCCGACGGGTGGGGCGCGGGCAGCGGGCGGCCCATCCCGCAGTGCTGCCGGGGTTCCCGGGAGCTGCCGTGGGAGCTGTGTGTGGGGGTCCCGTGAGTCGCTTATGGGGGCTGTGTGTGGGGGTCCCGTGAGACGCTTATGGGGGCTCTGTGTGGGGGTCCCGTGAGTCGCTTATGGGGGCTGTGTGTGGGGTCCCGAGAGCTGCTGATGGGGGCTGTGTGGGGGTCCGGGGAGCTGCCGTGGGGGCTGTGTGGGGGTCCTGTGAGTCACTTATGGGGGTTGTATGTGGGGTCCCATGAGTCGCTTATAGGGGCTCTGCGTGGGGTCCCGTGAGTCGCTTGTGGGGGCTGTGTGTGGGGTCCCGTGAGTCGCTTATGGGGGCTGTGTGTGGGGGTCCCGTGAGACGCTTATGGGGGCTGTGTGTGGGGTCCCAAGAGCTGCTGGTGGGGGCTTTGGGGAGGTCCTGGGAGTTGCTTTTGGGGGCTGTGTGTGGGGGTCCCATGAGACGCTTATGGGGGCTGTGTGTGGGGGTCCCGTGAGTCGCTTATGGGGGCTGTGTGTGGGGTCCCGAGAGCTGCTGATGGGGGCTTTGGGGGGGGTCCTGGGAGTCGCTTTTGGGGGCTGTGTGTGGGGTCCCAAGAGTCACTTCTGGGGGTTGTATGTGGGGTCCCGTGAGACGCTTATGGGGGCTGTGTGGGGTCCCGAGAGCTGCTGATGGGGACTGTGTGGGGGTCCGGGGAGCTGCCGTGGGGGCTGTGTGTGGGGGTCCTGTGAGTCACTTATGGGGTTGTATGTGGGGTCCCATGAGTCGCTTATAGGGGCTCTGCGTGGGGTCCCGTGAGTCGCTTGTGGGGCTGTGTGTGGGGTCCCGGGAGCTGCCTGCGGGGTGCGTGTCTGGCCTGGCCGTGCCGGCAGCTGCCTGTGTGGGGCTGTTTCTCGACCCCGGCCCGGGCTTAGCGAACGGTCCCGGCATGTGGCCTCGAGGCCGGAGAGGAGCCGCTGTTGCCCGCTGACGCGCCGTGGCCTCTCGTTGTGCACGTAGACTATGTGAAGGGCTTTGGCGGGAAGTTTGGCGTGCAGACAGACAGACAGGACAAGTGTGCCCTTGGCTGGGATCACCAGGAGAAACCGCAGCTGCATGAGTCCCAGAGAGGTACCCGCCTGGCCTGTCCCCCGCGCAGGGCCGTGAGCAGCCGCGCTGCCTGTCGTGCGTGTCCGCGTGTGCCCACGTGTGTCCACGTGTGTCCCTGCGTGTCCGTCTGCGGCCTGGACCCCTCCCCACACACTCCTGCAGCCCCCAGGGTGGGGCCGGCAGTGGCAGGGCGGGGGTCCCAGCCCACATCCCCGAGCCCAGGTGGTGGCCGCCGCACGGTGGTCGCGGCCTGTGTCCGTCCCGGGAACTTCCCACCTTTATTTCTGCCGCTGCCGGCGGGTGGAGCTTGGCGGGGCCGGGGGCCAGTCAGGGCACTTCCCTCGAGCCCCAATGATCATATTTCGTCCCCTTTTTTCAACAATTTTTAAATTTCATTTGAAAGCACTTGGCTGTCGGCGCCCAGGGCCTCGCCAGTGCGCGGGGCGGCCCGTGGGGGTGCGGGGGGTGTGGGGCGCCCCGTTTATCGTGGGCTGAGGCCGCTGTGCTCCCTGCAGACTATTCCCGAGGCTTCGGCGGCAAGTACGGAGTGCAGAAGGACCGGATGGACAAGGTGCGTGTCGGCGCTGGCGGGCGGGGCTGGCCCTCCCTGACCCTGTCCCAACCCTCCGGGTGCCGGGAACAAGTGCCCTTCAAATGCTGAGTGCCCGGCAGAGCCAACCAGCTCCACACTCGGGTCCTGCTGCCCCTGGGAGGAACCGGGGACACCCCTTGGCACTGCCAGGACAGCGCTCGGCCCGAGACCCTGCTGCCCTCGGGGCCCTCGGCTCTCCCTGGAGCCAGGGTGCATGGCCTGGCCGGGTCGCATGGACTCGGCATCCGTCTGCCCTGCGCTTGGCCCTCTGTGGGCAGCTGAGCTTCCTGCCGCCCCTGGCTCGGCTCCGACCGAGGCGGCGGGGAGCCGGAACCCTGTGCTGGGCAAGGGTGACGGAGGGCGAGGGGAGCACCAGTGGGCGCCGAGTGCAGTGGGCAGGGCACTGATCTCAAACGGGACCCACCAGGCTGCCATCCCCAGGAGTCACCCCAGCAGAGGTCAGAGAGGCAGAGTCTCGCCCGGCTCCTGTGTTCTGGGCATTGATGGGCACCGTTCCCAGGTGTCAGTCCTGGGTCTGACGCCCCTGTGTGTGGTTCGTCTGCTAGCTGTCCGCTCTGGGGCACTGCCGAGTGCCCAGTACTGCTGGTCATTTTTTTAACCTGTTTTCTGGGTCATACTCGGCCATGCTCAGGTTATACCTGGCTCTGCACTCGGGAATCACTCCTGACGGTGCTCGGGAGGACCATACTGGATGCCAGGGATCGAACTGGGTTGGCCGGCCGTGTGCAAGGCAGACACCCTCCCCGCTGGGCCGTCGCTCTGGCCCATCCTTGCAGTTTCCACCCTGATGTGTGTTTCCGGCGGGGCTGTAGGCGCAGGGCCTGCGGGGCGGGCAGTGCTGACCCTCTTCTGTCTCCGTAGACGGCCTCCACCTTCGAGGACGTGTCCAAGGTGTCGTCCGCGTACCAGAAGACGGTGCCCGTGGAGGCAGGTGAGTCCGGCTGCCAGGGCTGGTCAGGCGCTGCCGCAGAGCAGGACGGGGCCCACGTCCCAGCCACGGGAGGATCACGGGCTTCATCTGTCCTCAGCTTTGCTAGAAATTCCCGCGGGAGCGTTGCGTTCTCTCCGTTTCAAAAAAGCCATCGCACGTTCAGGTCACGTGTCCTCTGCGAAGTAGTGATGTTTCCCCAACCGCGGCGGGGGATGGCGCTGGCCTGCCGGAGGCCAGACACGCCTTTCCTCCGCAGCAAACACTAAGACGAGCAACATCAGAGCCAACTTCGAGAACCTCGCCAAGGAGAAGGAGCAGGAGGACAGGCGGAAGGCGGAGGCCGAGCGGGCGCAGAGGATGGCGAAGGAGCGGCAGGAGCAGGAGGAGGCCCGCAGGCAGCTGGCCGTGAGTGCCGGGGCCGGGAGGCGCGCGCACTGCACGCACACGGCACGCGTGTAGTCACAGGCCAAGGGGCGCGCGCACACACACACGCACACACACACGCACGCTCATGTGCCGTCGCCCTGTGCGCGCACACAGCACACGTGTCACAGGCCGGGAGGCGCACACCTTTGCACTCACTGCACACACATGCGTGTACGTGCGTACCGTGACACACCGTGTGTACAAGCGTACACATACGTGCAGTCGTGTCGTGCACACAACATGCAACACGCTTGCCGTCACTGCACATACAAGCTCACATGCCGTCATGAGCCACGCACACACATGCACACGTGCATACATATGCAGTCACCATGTGCGCACACGTATACGCGTGTAGTCACCGCGCGCACACACATGTACACATGTGCAGTCACGTGCACGCATGCATACACCTGCAGTCACCACGCACTCACGCACGTACACACACACGTATGCAGTCACGTGTGCACGCTCACCGCTGCTACCTCTGCCCCTGCGCTGCCGTGTGTCTTTCCCGTGTGTCTTTGCCCGGCCTCCTCCTCACCTCTCTGGCTGGCATCCGGCTGCCTGGCGGAGTGCGGGGGCCTCACCCCGCGGGGAGGGCGTCTGCGGGGCTGGCTGGGCTTCCAGGAGGCCTGGCCACTCTGCGGGCTCACACCTCCCTCTGCTCCCCACCTGCCCTGCTCCCCCACGTGCCCCCCGTACCTCCCTGCCCGCCGCCCGCCCCAGAGGCATCTCCGTCGGGGCCGCGGCTGGTGCCTCCGTGTGTGTGCGGGGTTCGAGACCCTTACTGCTCCCACCGTGCCCGCAGGAGCAGGCCTGCGCCCAGAAGCAGAGCCCCCCCGTGTCCCCCACGCCGCAGCTGGCCCAGGAGCAGCCTCCAGCCAGCCCCATCTACGAGGTGGGTGTGTGCCCGGCTCCCTCGTGCTGCGCCCAACGTGTGTGTCCCCGGGCTCCGGGTGCCGAGGGGCCTCTCTCTGTGTCCGTTCCCGGCCTGGCTGCTGGGGGTTGGGGTCGGGGGCTCTAGTGGGCAGCGTGCCCAGACCCATGCCCCACCTTCAGGCCTTCCTGTCTGCTCCCCTCCTGGCCAAGTGCTTGGCGTCACCCGAAAAGGGGCTCGAATGTCCACACCCTACAGCTGGACCTTGAGGGCCCCTGAACTGGGCTCAGGGTCAGAAGACGCCCCACCAGGCCCCCGCCTGTCCCCCCCGCACCTCTCCCGTTGTGCCAGCATCTCCCAACAGAGCTGCTCCAGAACCTTCTATGGACAGTGGGGCGATGCAGGGAGCTCGTCCATGTGTCCCCAACTCTCGGACTGACATGTTCCAGGCTGGCTCATGGCGTGGACGGGCGCTGGCGGGTGTGGGACGCGCCTCCCTCCGACCTCGGGCCTGAATGTCCCCACCCCTTGCAGGATGCCATCCCCTTCAAGGCTGCGCCCGAGCCCGTGTACACCGGGGCGGACGCGGCCTACCAGGAGGCGGGTGGGCAGCAGGCCCTGGCCTACGCCCCCGAGGCCGTCTACGAGAGCGCCGAGGCCCCCGGCCACTACCCCGCAGGTAACGCTTGCTAGCCGCCCGGCCTGGAGAGGACCCGCCCAGCCACCCTCCTCCCCGTGGCCTGAGCCCGCGGGCTTCTGCTTCTCAGCCCTCTGGACCTGGGGGCGCGGGGCCCCAGTGGAGGAGGGTCAGGATGCCGGGGTGCCGTGGGTGGAGGCCAGGCCCCGTGTGCAGATGGGGGAGCGTCCTTGGGCCCCCGCTGGGCTACGGGAAGGGCCGGGCTAGCACCTGCTCCTGGTCCCCCCATGGGGTGACTGAGTACAGGTGCTTTCCAGGCTCAGGTGAATGGGGGTGTGGGTGCGTGTGCACATGCGTGATTGTGGGCTTGAGTGCATGGACGTGTGTGATTACGTGTGTGCGTGTGTGTGGTCCTAGGAGTGGAACTCAGGCCCCGCACGTGCCTGGCTGGCGCTCTGCTGACCTGATTGAAGTCACCCCTGAGCTATCCCAACTGCATCAGGGGGCCAGGGCCTGGGGTCAGGGATCAGGGCCTGGGCCTGGGGTGGTGGGTCTGGATCCCCCCCTCCCGGGACTCGCCTCCTCCGCCTCGCGGCCGCTGTGGCGTAAGACAGGCTCAGCGCGTCCTTCCCGTTTCCAGAGGAAAACGCCTACGACGAGTATGAGAATGACCCGGGGGTCACGGCCATCGCCCTGTATGACTACCAGGCCGGTGAGTGCCCCCCACGCTCTGCTCCACGCCCCCGGGGTCCCGGCGTGTTGTGCTGGCCCCCGTCCCCCCTCCCCCCTGCGGGCCATCAGCGTCTGTGTCCCCTCACAGCGGGCGATGATGAGATCTCCTTCGACCCCGACGACGTCATCACCAACATCGAGATGATTGACGACGGCTGGTGGCGGGGCCTGTGCCGGGGCCGCTACGGGCTCTTCCCGGCCAACTACGTGGAGCTGCGCCAGTAGCGACCGAGCCTGGCCCGGGGGCTGGCGGGGCCCGATCCGCGTTTCCTCCTTTCTCTCAACTCCCGACGTGCAGCCCGGCCGACAGATGTGCGTGCATGCGGCCGTGAGCGCCACAGCAGCCGGTGACCCCCGACAACCCTCTGACCGTCGCCCAGGGGGGCTCTAGGGTTTGAGAGATGCCCCCGGGCCGCGAGGGAGGCGCATCAGCAGAGCCCCCGGTGACGGTCCTGCAGGAAGGAGGCGCCTTCTCGGGGCGGGCCGCCACCCTGTCCTCCTCCTGGGGGATTCTGCGCTTTTTGCCAAATGATGGCGCAGCTTGACGAAAAGCCACCGGGAGTGGCGCGATGCTGGGGACGGTTCCCCCGGAGCCCAGGGCCACGGGTGCCACCCCCTCCCTCCCCCCGTGGTGCGTCCGGCAGCCCCGCTCAGCACGGTTAGGTCGGGTTTTATATGCAATGATCGTATCTACATATCCGTAGCACACCTCATAGCTATGATTTTTTTAAATTAAATACTCGGAATAAACTCTTTTTCCATCCACTGTTGTCTGCAGTTGTGCTGATGTGACCGTTTGTACGTCTTGTTCAGCTTGAGGGCGCCCTGGTCCTGGTGCCCGAACTTGCCAGGGGACACGCCAGCTTCCTCACCGCGCAGTCTGGGGAGGCAGGCAGAGGACGCGGTGTTGGCACCGCTGGCACAGGCCGACGCACTCCCCTTCATGCGGGAGCTGAACACGGGGTGCAGTCTGACCCCGTCTGCCCCTCACATGTCCTGCCCTGCCTTGGTCAGGCAGCTGCTGACAGAGTTACAGGCCAGCCTCGGGGGGACAGGAGGCTGTGGCTGCAGGCGCAGGATGGGCCCCGAGAGTCGGGGACAGGAAAGCACTGGGCCGGCCACAGCTCCATGCACCCGACTGTGGTCACAGCTCAGCAGGTCCTGCCCGGTGCTGACAGCAGCTTCTCTCTCCTGAAGGAAGCCGGAGCAGCTGCTAACAGGGCCCCTGCCCCATGGTTTGGTTTGCAGGAACCAGGCAGAGCTGAGCCCAGCACAGACCCTGCAACAGTGCACTCTGTTCCACACCTGACCATCACACCTGGCATCCCTGGGGCCCGGGCCTCAGTCATCTCCCGCCTCTGGGACCCGGTGGCTTGGCTGACCCCCTCACCCTGTGTCACCCATCTGAAGAGGGGAAGAGTCTGGCCCAGTCAGCACAGGCAGCAGCTTTCTGGGCTGGGGCATCACCGGGGTGGGGGACCAAACTCAGGCCCTCACGGTGCACGCTCCAGCCCTGGGCGGCGTCTCCCTGGCCTGGCCCAAACGACTCCATCAGCTGGTCCTGAGTGTGTCTGGCTGCTGAGTGTCCCAGACAAATGCCTCATGCCGTGACCTGGGGCCCAGGACGCGTGGCAGGAGCCGATGGGTGACCAGGGGCTCGAGGCCCTGAGTGGGCCGAGCGATGGGCTCTGCAGGGCCTGAGCTGGATGGCCCCCCCATGTGCCCACCCCCCGAAAGCTGGGAAGGCAGAAGAGAGTGGCTGTCCCTGTCTGCCGCACTGTGTGGCCCCTGCCTGGGGTGACGGGGGGCCCCACTCTCGTGCTCCACATGGCCTTGGCTCCTGCCTGGCCCTTGGCGCTACTCGCCGAAGGTGCTCCGGCTCGGGGCTGTTCGTGGTGCTGAGCACTGTCCTAAGGGGCACTCTGTAGGGTGCGGCCACGTGGGTGCAGGGAAAGTGCTAGGCACAGGGACCGAGGCTGGGTGCTGAGGGGTGTTGGGGCACGGCCGGGGTACTTTCCTACACTGCAGGGTCGGGGTTCACTCGCCATGCGCCCCGGTTCCCATGGCCGCCTTTGTGGTCAGGGGGTCCTTGGCCCTGTCGGATGGACACAGCTGGGGTTGCCATTTCTGCGGCTTCTGGCCTTGGCCTTCCCTGATGAATGTAGACACACACACACACACACACCCCCCCCCGCCCCCCGAGGCTTTCTAAGCTTCCTTGTCATTAGAGTTGGGGTGGTTCTGCCCTGTTGGGCCCGTCTCTGTCCCCTCCTGCTGGTCAGTCTCGGCCTCTCCCTGTGAGTGTCGCTCCGTGGCTCATTTCACTTCTCTAGGTGCAGTGCCTGTGGTGGGACTTTTTCACAGGCCCTGGCCCACTGTGGCAGCGGGGCGGAGAGAGACGCGGTGACAGGTCAGGAAGCTTTGCAGGGACCAGCCCGCAGGCTCGGAGATGGAAGACTCGTCCTCAAAGTGACCATCTTGCGTGTGTGCCCTCAACAGCCTCTTTTTATTTATTTATTTATTTATTTATTTATTTATTGCTTTGGTTTTGGGTCTCACGCAGCGATGCTGAGTGGTTCCTCCTGGCTCTGCACTCAGGAATCACTCCTGGCAGTGCTCAGAGGGGACCCTATGGGATGCTGGGGATCAAACCCAGGTTGTCCACATGCAAGGCAAACGCCCTCCCCGCTGTTCTATTGCTCTGGCCCCTAACAGCCCCGTTTTGTAGAGAGAACAGGGAAGCATCTTTCTTACTGTTTTGAGGCCACACCTGGCAGCGCTCGTGGCTCTGTGCTCAGGGATCACTAGGGGGCTCAGGAGATCCAGTGGGGAGCTGGAGACGGAACCCGGGCCACTGTGTGCAAGGATGGACACAGCTGGGGTTGCCGTTCTCCGTCCGTTCTCTCCAGCCTGTCTCCAGAAATTCTTTTTTGTGAGACCCGGTGATGAATTCAGAGGCCTGGGGGAGTCGGGACTGAGTTTCCTTCGCCTGCAAAGATCCGGCCGAGGCCGCAGCTCCTCAGGAGCCCTGGCGGGGGGCAGCAGTTTCCGCTCCGTGCAGATCAATTGGACTTTGTGCAGTTTGGCAGTTTCCTGGCAGGGCTGGTGGAGTGCGAGTCCCCAAGCCACGTAGGAGCTCTTGGCAAACTTGACCTGCCCTGGCCCCTGGTTCCCAGGGACACGGATGACTCCAGCCGAGCGACAGCCCCTCTCGCACTCTGGCTCTGCTCTGACTTCCTTCTCTCCACTCTCCCCCCTCCCCCACCCACATCATCGGGGGGTGCATGCCCAGCAGTGCTCAGGCTTTGCTCCTGGCTCTCCGTCAGGGGACACTCCTGGTGTGCTTGGGGGGTGCTCTTTCAGGGTCTGGAGCAATAGCACAGCGGGTAGGGCGTTCGCCTTACAAGCGGCCAACATGGCCGACCCGAGTTCGATTCCTCCGCCCCCCTCGGAGAGCCCGGCAAGCTACCGAGAGTATTCGATATGCCAGACACAGTAACAACAAAGTCTCCAATGGAGACGTTACTGGGCCCGCTCGAGCAAATCGACGATCAACGGGAGGGCCTTTACCTTTACCTTTATGTTCCCCAGATGAGTGCAATCTTTCTATGTCTGTCCCTCTCTTTCTGACTCATTTCGCTTAACATGATACTTTCCATGTAGTACCACTTGTATGTAAATTTCATGACCAAACAATTTTTTTTTTGGCCTTTTGGGTCACACCTGGCAATGCACAGGGGTTACTCCTGGCTCTGCACCCAGGAATCACTCCTGGCAGTGCTCGGGGGACCCTATGGGATGCTGGGAATCGAACCTGGGTCAGCTACGTGCAAGGCAAACGCCCTACCAGCTGTGCTATTGCTCCAACCCCAACCAAATAATTAAAAAAAAATTAATAAGATTGATGCAGGAGCTGAAGAGATAGAATCAGGGCTAACAGTCCCGCCTTGCACACTGACCCCAGTTGGTTTCTGGCACAAACATGGTCACTGGGGTGTTCTGGATAATGCCTCACCCTCATGCCCTGGCACTGAATGGCTGGCCCTGTTGACGACACCCAGCTGTGCTCGGGGATTCCTCTTGCCTCTGTGCTCCAGAATCACTCCTGGCGGGCTTAGGGTGGCAGGGATGGAACCCAGGTTGGCCGCGTGCAAGGCCAGCACCCTACCCGCTGCGCTTGGATACTCCTGAAATGTTATTCAATGTGAAACAGACACAGAGACCAATATTAGAAACTGAATCCCAAACCACAAAAGCTGTCTGGGCAGGGCAGGGGGAAAGTGCTGAGAATGTTCCCGGGACTGACAGGACGAAACACAATCAGCTGCCTTCCTTTGCAGGGCGTCCGGGGTGGGGGTGGGGTTGCTCAGGAACGAGCGAGAGGGATTGTACTCACCACCCTGTGTCCAGAGTCTCAGCCCGCTGCTCTGTTCCCTTTCCCTGGAAAACCCCCTTCCCCTCCCCCTGCCCCCCTCCCCCCTCCTGTGCAGGCCTGACAGTCACTGTGAGGCTGTAAGTCAGACATCCTTGGACTGGCCAACTTGTTGCCAACAAAGCACGCCATTGTCACCGTGCTTCTTGATTGAGTGGCCCTTGAGTGGCGGGGAGATGGTCTGAACAAGTATGACTTAGAGCATCACCTTTGAGCGATACACACCCCTGGGGCTGGAGCAATAGCACAGCGGGTAGGGTGTTTGCCTTGCACGCAGCCGACCTGGGTTCGATTCCCAGCATCCCATATGGTCCTCTGAGCACCACCAGGGGTAATTCCTGAGTGCAGAACCAGGAGTAACCCCCGTGTATCACCGGGTGTGACCCAAAAAGCAAAAAAACAACAACAAAAAAAAACACACTCCCAAGGCAAGAGTGAACAAAATTCCGATCCAAAATAGAATCTGTGGTCACCCTATATAATTACGATGAGTTTTGGGGGCCACACACTGATTGGTGCTATCTTGGCTTTGTGCTCAGGAGCGAGTCCTGGGCCATGGAGGGTTCTGGAGCTGGCTGCGTGCAAAGCCAGTACCTTGACCCCTGAGTGGGGACTAAGAGCTGGGCACATTCCCTCCCCCAGAATTGATCGGGCACCAGGTACCGGCCTCGGCCACAAAGCTCTTTCCAAAGGGCACCGCGACCTCCGCACCGCTGATGAGCACACACCAAGCAAGAGAAGCGTGTAACAAGCCTGCAGAGACGTGGCAATGGCCAAGGTCGGAGCCGCAGTGCCTCTGGGCGGGCAGGAAGGACGGACTGGACGGCAGCCCAGGTGCTGTCGGGCAGAGAGGTGCAGCTGGCAGCTGAGCTGGGGTGTCCTGTCCGACCCCCCCTCCCCCGCAGCCGTTGGCTCTGCCAGATCCATTTCATAATGATTTTTGGAGGAGAGCGAGCACTGTGGAGCGCGAGCTATATTTGGCTCTTCCGTGATTCATATACATATGCTTGCGGATGCCAGTCGGGGCCAGGGGAGAATCGGGGAATCCTTAATAGGTTCTGGCGGGGGGGGAGTGGGGGGGAGGGAGACGTGCTTTTCCCTGATACGTTTTAAATTCTGCAGCACTTGTATTTTTAGCTCCTGATTAAAAAGATAATCAACCTATATTTGTTCTTTCCTTTCGCGCTGCTGAGCTGCGGCTGAACCAGCGAGGCCCCGGGGGGCGTGGCTGGCGGCCTCCACACCGGTTGGTTCCACCTTGGCCATGGAGGCCCACTAGTGTCCCCTGGGGGAATCGGTGATTTCCTTGGCACGGGAGAGCAGAGGTGACCGCAGGTG